TCCCCTCCCTACAGGACATTTACACCAGGAGATGCTGGACTAGAGCAGCTCAGATATTGAAGGACCCGTCACATCCCAGCAATAAACTGTTCCAGCTTCTGCAATCAGGCAGAAGGTTCCACACCATAGAGGCTCAAGAGGAGCCTGATCCTTCTGGCTTCACTACTGCACAAGACACTTTAACACACTACTACACAATGTACAATCTCAGATTTCGAACTTGTGTTGCACTCGTATAACTATGCACGTGACAAATAAAGAATCTTGAGTCTTGTTGCAGAGATTTTAAGCAAATGTTAGTTTCTTTTTACAGTGTAGTCACGGCTGCCCAAGAAAGTTTTGCAATTTATTTTCATTTTGTCAGCTGTCTGAGATAACAACACCATCATTCTACTATTGAGCAATCCCCTCGCTTTCATCTTAAAAGTTTAGTCACTGCTAACCAGCTCGTTTCTGTCTTTCCCCTTCTAGTGTTTCCCTACGGGCAGGCTGTTCAGACTGCTGTTGCAGCACTGCTCAGTGTCATTCAGTCTCCCATGGCAGACTGGGATGGACTCTGGCAATGATGTCCTGAAATACATCTGGTGACAGAAGTTCTTGCTCTGCTTTGGAGATCCACTGCTGGAGGGCCGCTCTCACCAGAACACACACATAACATTACCAGCTGCCACCTAGTAGTGATGAAATTTATCCAAGGGATGAATACCTTACTGGACAGGCAGCTAATTTCTGTTCTGGTATTTATTGTCATAAAGCAAGTATTGTGCACCTCTATTTACACGCCCCCTGCTTTTCTACATCCACACATATAATCTAATTTGGCCAAACGCATTTCAATTCCACCTAGCTCCGCTATCTAGCACCACCAGAGTTTGAACAGCATTGTGTTCGCTCGACCAAACAAGCCATACCACACATACACACTTCACAATGAATGGATGATAAAAATCAACATCACCCTGGCCGCGCAGACTTGTGGGTTTTCTGGCACCACAATGTCCACACATGAAATCGAGCATTAGAAAAGATTACAAGATTGACTCGCTGTTTTTTTGTTGTTGTTTTGTTTTTTAAAAACTGCCTGCAAAAAATCCAGAAGACTCAGAAACCTGATTATCTGAGGATCTCACAGCACTCGTTCCACTCAGCAGAGAGCTGGCTCCTGTATAAACAGGAGAGAACAGATTTACTAAAAACAACAGCGTGGCAAGGAAAGAACAGCAAATACAGCAGCTCGTTCCCACACACTCACATCAGCACATCAAATGACAATGTTGCTTTTTGAGAAAACACAAACTTGCGGGGTCACATGCCACAGACACAAAAAAAACTAATAAATCAGTCTGAGTTTTGCATATAAGCAAAAATTAGATTCCAAAAAGAAATAAAGGGCATAAAAGAGTTCATCCTTTCTGGTGTTTGTGATAGCCGTGGTGGGGAGTTTACAGGGCTGCTCATGTGAGATCATGGTACTCAAACTAAATGTTCTCCTTCCAAATTAGGATAAACCACTGATGGCCCACATACAGTCAAGGACATTTCCTTTTCCGTTTTTTTCTGGATCACCCTCCTAAAAGTATCATAATCTACCCTCTATCAGGATTTGTCTTCTTTTTTTTCCTGAACAATTTACGGGTATATCGACACCAGATTGCTGAAAATGTCATTTGAAAACCGTGGACGTGACAACATCAGCCACCACTGTTCTGGTTTCAGGCTTTACACAAGATTTCAGAACACTGGTCAACAGGATTTGCACCTGGACCCACAAATGGCGTGGCTGCATTGCATTTGGGCTTAGTCATGGCTGCTGGAGAGGATCTGTGGCTAATCTAACAGGTGTGGCAATCTCAATCTCTCCCGAGTCTTGATGCTTCAGGTTTCTTTCTGACGCACCGCCGTCTCTGATGTGTGCATCTTGTTTGTTAACCACTTGAATAAGAACCTGCTTCAAGACTTATCAAAAGCTTCCACTGAACATTGCAAACTCAGTGAAGAAAGCGGCGCTGTCGACACTGCAATGCTATAAGGAGACACAACATATAATGCTCTATTAATAGTGAATGCATTGATTAGGAAACTATTTAAACAAAATAATTAATTGGAAACAGTTTAAAGGCAATCCATCAAGTATTAAAAAGGAATATATTGTGCAAAATTCTTCAGCCACCCCTCGTGTCTTTATGTTTTTCCTCCAAGCAGCCAGACTTTCTTGTCATTTTTTAAAGTGGTCTTCTTTTTGACATTGGCTACTTATTCACTCATTTTCAGTCCAGTCCTTGCACCTGACCATTTCCAAAGGAAAGACTATTTGTTGATCCACTTAACACTGACTTATGAATCATTCAAGCATAAAAAAGGCATTAAACTCAAGGGATGAACCAGTCTTGTGTCTGCACATAACAGCCACCTTAGCAAAGAATCAATTTTATGGAAAATGCCAAAGATAACATAGTTTGATATGCATAAAATAGTATTTTTGCACCAACAAGATAAAAGAGCAAAGCAAAATTAGCTTAAAATGTTGCAACTCCCATGGTGTGTAGTGTGTTCTTAAGGATTTTGAAGAAACTGGACAAGTGGAGGACAAAAGAAGACGTGAGCTGGAGATGGACCCCTTGTCTCTTCTCCTAGATCTGTGTAATCTGCATATGAAGGATGGATGTCACAGAAAAACAGCTATGCTGCTGCACATTGTAGTTTATTGTCATCCTTCTGAAATAAGGAAGCTCAAATCTGGGTGGCAGTACATATGTGGCTCCAAAATAAATAAACAAACTGCATGCTTATCTTACTATTAAACTTTGCAGTCTATTGCAGTCCCATCACAGCTTATTTGAAATATATTGCTGGCATCAAATTTCATGTGAGCAGATATTTAACTTTTTTAAAAACTGCATTCTCCTTTTATGATACAATTTAAGCAATCCATCTTTATGCAATCAATGTCATCCTTTGAGTTACAGTATAGTTTAAAATGGAAGTGCACACTATAACATAAAGATTTCCTCATTATGGAACATGCCCCAACTATTAAAGTGGCCTCTAAAAAAAGTAATCCACAAATTTACTGTAGTTCACGATTTAAGGATGAATCCCTGTGGAGGTTCTTCAGCTATAAATAGGCATCTTTCTCCATATAAACTCTGACATCTTTATAGGAGCGCTGACTGTACATGAGCTACGATGTTTAAGCAGCACACAGCCTTGTAAAGAAAAAAAAA